ACTGCCAGGGCATACAACTGGTTCATCTTCAGCTTGCTGCCTAATAACATTACACTGCATCTTTTCAACAGAGCTGCTACCCAGCCACACAGTCCCCAGCCTAGATTAGTAAAAAGGCCTCTCCCTTCCCAGAGGCAGAACATCTATCCTCATGGAATTTCAAAAAGCTCCTGCTAGCATGTTCTTCCAGCCTGCCCAGGTCCCTCTGGAGAGCAGCCCAGTTCTGAAGCACATCAACTGTACCCAAGTATGGGATCATCTGCAAATTTGACAAAATAAAGCCCCACTGACTCCTCTGCATCACTGATAAAGTTGTTAAACACAAGAGGTTCCAGAACGGATCTCTGTGGTACTCCATTTGTTACTCCAGGTAAAGCCTGACCTATTAACCATGACTCTCTGACCCTACCCATGCAAACAGTTTTTTATCCATCTAGTTGTCCTTCCACCTAGGCTGCAGGGTCCTAACTTGGATACAAAAATATTTTGTGAGCCGCTGTCAAACTTCCTTGATTAATTCACCCAGAATGACATCTTCTGCTTTCCCTTCATCCACAAATCCAGTCATTTTATCACAGAAGACAGTCAGTTTCATCAAGTATGGTTTACTCTTGTTAAATCCACGCTGACTGTTCCCAATCACTTTCTTCTCCTTTGTGTGTCCAGAAACATGTTCCAAGAGGATTCACTCAATGATTTACCTGGGAATGAAATGAGACTGACTACCCTGTAGGGTCCTTGGATTTCTTTTCTTTTAAAATGGGTGCAACTTTCTCAAGTTGTTGGAAAACTCCCCTGATTTCCATGACCTTTCAAAGATGACTACAAGTGGCCTTGTTATGATATCAGCCAGCTCTCCCAGCACCCTTAGATGCAGCCCATTTGGTCTCAGGAACTCAAGCAACCCCTGTCTTGATCTTCATCCACTGCTGCTAGTCCTGCACCTCCTTGAACCTTGCCTCTAAGCTCAGAGGCCTTGAAGACTGTGTCAGTGAAGACTAAAGCAAAGGAGTCACCGAGTATCTCACTCTCGTCTGACTTGTCACTAAATCACCCATTCTAATCTATCTGATCTCTTTTAGATATTTGATGTAGGATGAGGCAGATCACAACACAAATCCTACTGACTATTTTGGTCTAGGGCTAGACATCCATTGATTATAACGGAAATTTTGGGTGAAAACTCATATGCAGGTACCTACAGTGTCCACCCTGCCTACATTTATTCATCTGAATCTTAACTAACCTGTCTACAAAGTTCAGCCATCTAAAGCTTGAGATGGTGAGTTGGTCTTTCCAGTTTCCACTGTTTCTCATGCAAAGGTATTTCCTGACTCTGATGCAGTTGTATTCTCTTTTGGTAATCTCTTGTTTAACAAGATTTAGCTCCTGGAACTCAGCCTACATTAAAAAGGTCTTTAGTAATTCCAAACGTTAGTTCATTTGCAACAGAGCAGTAAGGAATGCCAATAAACCAAACAATTTTGACTTTGCTGTTTGTGGTATCATTTCCCAAACTCTATTCTTGAACTGAAATCACTCTTTCTTAAAGAAAAGGCTCTGAATGTAAAGGTTACAATCACTGTCGTTCCTCTGAAAATGTTCCATTACCACTGCATTTTTTATTAAGGTATTCTACTGTGCACAAAAGCTATTTTCACTGAGCTGTATAAATATTTGATGTAGCTCAGTTGACAAAAAAGCTATTTTGATGTTCTTGCTTCTGATTTACAAGAAGTATATGGGAAAAGATTTCTTACTTTATCATGACAGCTTTCCTAGTGGGCAACAATTTTCCCCTTGTTGTCTCTGAACTACAAATCCCTCTTTATCTAGGAAACTAACCTTTAGGCTGCTGTTGCTCTCAATGAGGAAAACTAGCTATCTGTGGTTTTATGTGGCATGTGACCTGAATGTTGGCCCTTGCTTCATATTTACATTCCTCCCTTGTCCTGAATCTTTCAACTTTCAGTACACACAGAGAAAATAATTCCATATGGATGATAAAAAATCCAGCAACTTCAGTGGCCACAGGCATCACTGGTTCACCCTTGTCACAGGCAGTGCAAATATAACAGAGACAATCAATCTGACCCTCTAAAAACCTGATCACTTTCCTCTTCCAAGCAACTCACATTTTGTTTCACTTGTTTTGTCTTTAAGTACTGTCAATGTTTTCTGGTTGGTGGGCTGGCTTTTTCTAAGTTTGAAAGGCAGGAAATTCACAGACAGAATGGTAACACAAATACAAGAATGCCATGCACTTAAGACCTGCAGTTTGAAACAACTGAAAATGAGCAGGCTTGCAATTATTCTGTTAAGACATCAAAACATAACCTTAGCTTTGACTCTTTTCTCTCTTCTCACACTGCTGATTGGAGACGTGCTGTTATAGGAAAGAAGGAGACCTCACCTGTTACATCCTTTCCACTTGCAGTGTTATTAAACTGTAGCTTGCTGCTACAGTCTCCACTTCTCACTAGAAAAGGGCAAGGGTGGAGTCCTATGATCACTTTAGATCCCAAGGCAGGATCAGTTTACACCTGGGATCGCAGGCAGAATTAGCAGTGACGTGAGTGGGATGAAAAACACTAGCAAGTAACTGAACTCCAAATGTAAATAACTGTTATTTCTCAACAGAAGAACACTCAAGGACTGAGCAAGCCGCTGTTTCTAACTTGCTAGCAAAATCTGAATACATTTAATATATGGTGTAACTCTGTGTGGTTTACATATTGTAATTTGCAATTGTGTTACATTTCTGTTTATAATTATCTGATACAATAAGCAAAAAAACCCCAATTGTTATCAATGAACTTTAAAACTCTTTTGAAGACTAATTACTAAACTGCTGGCAGAAAGAAGAAACAGATTTATGACTACTGACAATCTGGAAATCTTCACTTCATTGGGTATTCCAAGGACAAGGGGGAAAAGAAGACGATAACAAGTCTTTTAAGACTAATAAGCAAAATAATGAATTCATACTCAAAGCCAAAGAGGAAACCAGTACCCTGAACAATGAAATGGGATATAACCAATTAAAGAAAGTATGCTAATATTACCTTAATTTGGAAAGAGATTAATCAGTGAATGAGACCGGCTATGAAGAGCTGGATAGGCTGCCATAAAGGACTACAAAAAAGTAAGGAGCTGAGAAGCCCTTAGCCCCGTCTTTCTTCTCTCCTCCCTACTTTGGGTTGTTTCATACTGGCTGGCATATGAGTGAAAAAGCTGTTCCATTTCTCTGCAGTATAGGAAAATTTTAGAATTTAAATCATAAACATTTAACTGCAATTGATAGCAATTTACAGATGTTCTTAGCAAATGTTCTTCTAATAGCATGGGCATGTTCACAGCATTTTAATGTAACTGTTTCAATTAATACACTTTTAGTAACCTTAACTCTGAGCTGACTTCTAAACCTCTTCTTCCTGTAACCCTAAAAGGCTAATAAAAATGTTCTCTCATTATTCATCTTCAACCTCTAATCTAAATTAATCCTGAATCTGTCCTCTTTTACATAATTCGTTGTCCTGTTTACGTTGAAACTCTTACTGTCATCATTCAAGCCTCCTTTATCTATGTCTCCAGGCAGTTATCCAGCACTCCTCACTCTGGTATCCAAGTACCACAAACTTCCCCCAAGGCCTCTGTTACGTAAATGAATTTAGAAGTTTAAATAACAGAAAAATGATGTGTTTAAAGCATTTTAGAGTGCACTGATAAGCAGTTTTTATTAAAGAAAACTCTGAACCTGATAGAGCCAATTAGATTTGCCTCTATGAGTTGCAATTTATACACATAAAGTAAATCATCATTTGTTTTTAAGCAAGTTAACTAGCAATTACAAGGCTTTCCAGGAAGCTGTGTGAAAGCATTCCATCAGATGAACTTTAGACCTTCCTTTTTTGCTACTTGCTTGCAAAATGAAAAATTAGGATTGCCTGTTAATTTCCTGATTGACTTTTACCAGAACCAACTCATATTACTGTGTTTTATCATGGGCCCTGGAATTCTGACCAGCAGCAAAATGGGAAGAAGATGCTCTGGAAGCAGCTCCCCTATAATTTTGAGGCACAAGCCTACGAATCTTAGTAGCAGTGCCCAATCTATGGGTTACCACATTTCTTTTGAAGAATGCAAAACAAACCAAAATTAGGTGAAAGATTCAGCCATAAGCACTTTAACCATGAAGTATACTAGTCACACAATTTTCCAGTGAAATTAATCTGGCTGTAACGTCAACATTTTTTATGTTCAGGCACTTCCCTTGGTTTGTTCTCATGGTCCCTTGGTTATGTCTTTCAGATCCCAGCTACGCACCCAAGTCTTTCTCTGTAAAGCAGGCTTGTCTTCAGAGATACCATGGTGGCCATGAGTGCAGAACAGACTGGCTACAGTGTTAAGCTGGTTTCAGTGTCACATTTTCACATCAATCAAAATTCTGTTTTTTAGTCTTCTTAAATTAAGATCAACATTTATCCAACATCTAGCTAGGATGAAACATAGAAGACAATTTTATAAAACATCGTGCCATGAAGGTAGAAAGGGTCTCTGAGAGAACTGGGAGTAACTGATTGCAAGTTGGCCAGATGAAACCGGAGGGTCCTTATGCTGACCTGCAATCAGACCCAGACACAGTGTCTGGCCGGACAGCTAAGAGGAAAGCCACTCTTCCATTTATGTCATCTGTTTTACAATCTTATTAGTTTAATTCATTTTACTTGGTATTGTTTATTAACGTTGTATATTTCTGCAATTACAGGATCATCTCTAGTATGTTTATAAAATACAATACATGATCTGTTTTCCTTATTCAAATGCCAAAATATTTCCTGTGCCTTCATTCCACTTCACTGAAATAGGCTGATCTAAAACAAATCTCCCCCAAGCCTGTATTAAAGCACCTCCCAAATGTCTTCTCTTCAAAGATAATGACCTCTATTAGAGGAGAAAGGAAAATAATAACAGCATAATGCTTTCTGTAATTTCCATACCATTTACCATTCCAAGGCTGAAGATCGCGTTTACCAATGAGCCGCCTTTCCTGAAGTGATCTGTCATGTGCTCCAGCCAATTTGCTTCTAAGCTGTTGACAGTCTGCCCATTCCTAGTGATCCTCATAGGGATAGTCACTGTATAATACTGGCTGCATCTTTGTGGGGTTTTTGGCTTGTTGAAGAGAGCGAAGATCTCTGCTTCTACCAAAAAGTAAAAAATGGAGTAATGCAACAACTGTATCATGAAATTTCAGCTAAAACAACATATAACCCACTGTTTGCCCTTGCCTGATTACACTGGGCAACTGCAAAAAATACTTTGGGTTGCGTTATCTCCTTAATACATTTCTGCAGTGTCCAACACAGTAGGGTCCCAAAACCCAATATGATATTTTGATTGCTGTTACAATATTTGTTACTAATAATGGATTCACTGTTGATAATAAAACATTTAAAGACTATAACACCGGAGTACTAATGCACAACTCCCCTACTGGAGTTATCAGTGTAAACCAAGATAGGAAAACACGCTCCACAGACTGCTCTAAGTACTGTCCGCAGTCACGAAATCACTGAAAATCAATGCACAGAATACCTTTATTTTTCTACTGAATTAATTGTTTAAGAACTGTGAGATTGAGGACAGTTCAAATATGAAATCTTACTGCAAATTTAGGAGGAACTGCATTCTGTAGATTATGGTCATTAAACTGAAGTAATAAATAACTTGGTTTTGATAATACAATGGCAGGGAACCAGCAAGTAGTAGTCTCATCTAAAGAAAATGCAATAAATCATTAATGTAGAGACTATGCTACCCAGTTAGTTGATTTACTCTGGGTCTGAGCCAAGGTGAGACATTAACACAACAGCAAATGAATTTTGAAAGTGGAATTGTGAAGGATCTTACAAATTAGAACATTTTCTAAACTCTGCTCCTTATCTCCTCTAGAGTATCATAGGAACAGTTAATATAGGCTTACCATTATAAAAAAAGTCATTGTTAACAGCAAAGCTGAGCTTTCACAGCCCTAAAACTGGAAGTAAGTTTAAGTGCACATACACCTTCCAAATTCTCAGAAGGGTATAACCATCAATAAAATTACCAATAAAAAATTTTTGTACATTATTATTTCACTTATTAATGGACATGGAAATTAATAATAAAATTTCTATTGACTTCCAAATGGCAAAAAAATCTCCCAAAATAAATTAGTATAAAAGGTAAAGACATTATATGAATTTAATTCATTCAATAAGCTCCTCTTGTTTCAAAGTTGTTATTATATTCTAATCTCAAGTATTAAAGAAAGAGATGTCAAGAGAAATGGATAGATTGCTCTCTAACAAACATCACTGAGCAAGAAGTCGTGTGTAAATTGAAAAAGATACTGGAAGGGAGAAGGTCGGAGACAGACTAGCAGCACTGCTAGAGAGAACTAGAAGAAAGCAGGAAGCTTACAATGTAACCAAACACGAAAAAGAGACCTAATGATCTCAGACATGAACCATGATTCAAATGGAGTAGCAAGGAATAAATTGTTAACATGAATCCTCTTGTTATTTACCACTTGTTTAGAAAGAACAAAATTATTATAATCTTAACTCAGAAGAGCATACACAGAAAACTTCTATGAACGTTTTGATTCTTACCCCCAAAATAGACTCATGTGGGAAACAGAGATCTTTTGGTGTATATGAAGACATTACATTAACAATAGCAAATCATGGAACTGGAAAATTGTAGAGAGATGATAATTTGGATTTGACACTGGCCTGTTGACAACATGCATTTAAAATGTGTGTGAGCCTTTCAGTGGCTGATGTGGTTTGTCACTATTACTGAGTGTACAACACACCAATCCTAACCGCTGCTCAAGGCATTACTGACAACAGTTTTCACCAGTGAGCCTGACTGCTCAAGCATGGACAAAGACACCTTCAGTTTGGCTCTCAGTAACACAGCACTTTTGGACATATCATTGGAATATCTGTGCCTTGTTCACAGGCAAATAATTTCCGAAGAGCCCTTTAATAAAAGTGAAAGTGAATGAGCACTACAAAATATTCAGGAAAAAAAACTGAGGCAGCATAAAAATAACACTCGAGTAGCATAACACCTAAAATAAAGAACAAAATTAAGATTCCACAAATCGTAAGAAATATTAAATCTTTTTTCTGAAGTTTTCTGTAGAGAAGAAGGAGTTCAAGAGTGGTAACTTCCTCTGGAATAAGTAGGCTAACTGGAAAAAAAAGAAACACCTGATGCGTTCTGCCTTCATGTTCCCAAGGAAGGATGGAGAACTGGTGCCAAAGATTGAAATACATTTTCCATGGAAGGAAACGGGAGTGCTGTAATAACAAAAATTCACATAAGAGCAATAAAGAAATCAGCAATGTTGTACCGGCAATAGATTTGGAAAAACCCTACTATAGGTGAACTGCCACGTAAAACTGCCTTCTCAGACCTTCAGTCTTGGAAAGTATGTACATAACTCACCAATTTGAAAAACTGTATGACAAATAAATAAATACAAAAAGCACTCAGAGAAAGAAAGAGAAATAAGGAAACTGAAGGCCTTTTTAAAATAAAACCTCTTATCTGGCCAATCAGCAGCTGTAGTAAAATCCTGGAGTGTTACAGATAGATAGAAGTTGGGAAGATTAGAGATGATCAGCTTCACATTACACAGAAATATTAAGAACATGGTTACTTGTAACAAAAGATTTCCACTGTTCAGTATGGAGAAGAATAGCATCAAAAAGATGATTAAGCCTGCTAGGTTAACCCACTCAAAGACAGCATATATAAAAAGAAAATCTGATTAGAGTTGGAGATAGCCAACTTAGAACTATAAAACTAAGAGGCTTTATAATGTGTAAGATCTAGTGTAAACCAGAACAAATTTTTCGAATAACAGCTATGTTTTGATCAAATCTGGCTGTCCCCTTGCCCAGCAAAAATTGAAGAAAGTACTGTGAAAGGTTACTAGAGTATGATCCAAACCTGATGGTGAAAAGCTAATTACATCAAAATGCAACGGAAACCAAGACAATAGTCCTAGGAGGGTATAATGCAAAGGCATTCTCGTTCCTACATATAAAATCCCCAAAGGGGCAGGACTGTTTGAATCTATGTAAGACATAAAGAATAGGGATAAATTAATGTCAAGGACAATACTAGCTGAAAGGAATGTAGATGGAATTTCCTTACGTACGTTTGTAGATTGTAAGGAAAGTAAGCAAAGTGGTAAGAGAAATGAGTACATACTGTTTTCTAGGATTTAAGCAAATATGAGGTTTAAGCTGGAAACAAGGCAACAATATTTTTTTCTGATGACTTTTCATTTTCTGAATTGCTCTGGTCTACATCCTATTTTGAACTACAACTCCTGCTACTGAAGCAACCTCTGAGCAACAAACACCTTAAGGGGGGTACTTGGAGACCTCAGCTGAGACTTTTGGTTTTTGATGGCATAATATGACATTTAAAAGTGGAAAGCACACCTGAGGAGAAATATGTCAAAGAAATGAATGAAAGAAAACTGGTATATGAAGAATAATCTCACAAAAAAAAAGAGAACTGGAAGGCAAATTATTAGGAGCACCATTACCAAGAGGACCATTATTATGAATTAGCAAACACAAGCCATTAACAAAAATAACTGCTGCTTTCCAGTAATTACAATTCTGACTGTAGCACTGACCCCAGTCTGACTACAGGATACTTAGGAGACTTCAGATTCCTGCTGTTCCTGATGTGGTTTAATTTCAGCTACCTGTTCACCTGCTACAAAGTGGCTAGCTGTGATATGGCTTTGTGACTTATTCCTTCTATTGCTGCAAAATTTTGTCAGGCAGATAAGAAGGGCTTTTTATTCAAATGGACAAAAAGGATACAAAGATCAAGAACTCTCAGGGTACCACAGCTAATACCAAAATGAACCAATTCAGCTGAACAGCAGACAAGAATAAGTCTTTACACTCAGGCATACAAGTGGGCCATAACAAAGTCGCACCTGCTTGTATCATCTCGTAATTTGCCATCTAACTTACACTCAATTGTTGTGAACTGTGTAACCACACTGAAATCAGATTGAATGGCTCATTCGGTGCATCTTTTCTTTCTTACTACACTGGTAAGGTTCTTTCTGCATCCCCACTCCCCAAAAGGAGCCGGGAAGATAACTGAGGTAATTTTAACTTGGCTTTTATATATGAGAGGTCACTACAATACTTACTGCCAGTAAGCGGTTTTAAGCATCGTGCTGGTGTTTCATTCTCTGCAAGTCCATTCGGCTTGTCTGCTGCTTCTGTTACACTTGGGTTTGCATGTTGAAACTGTTCCTCGTTTCGCTTCACAGACTTGAGATTCAGCTCTTCAGCAGCCTGTCCTTCACCTCTCCAGCCCTCCCTGGATGTGCCATATTGGTCAGCACTTTCCTCACTCAGTGCTGGAGTACTGCATCCATTAATGCCATCTATTTTCTCGCCATCCAATGAAGCATGATCCTCAGGGTAATTTGAAACATTTTTATTATCTCTTGATTGCACAGAGTTGTTACTGGAGGGTGTCAGGGAGGTGCTGACAAGACAGTTCTTTTGGGAATGGTACTGAGGTATAATTCCAACAAATTTCAAGCCTTGACTTGCAGCATCTTGAATCTACAAGTCAAAGAAGATTAGATTTTTAACTGTCAAGCTGTCTTGGCTAAATAGAAATACAGAAAATAACACCATTCAAGGCAGCTAGCGTGTCATTTTGCTTCTTTTGTCCACTACCGCAAGAAATTGTCACGTTAACATTTACAGAAAAAGTTTCATTCCAGAGAAGCAGGATGAAAAGTTCCCTAAATTGCCTGAAATAATGTGAAAGTGGAGGAAAAAAGAAATAAGAAAAAAAGAGAAATCAGAAAAGAAAAAAGAAAAAAAGAAGAAAAAAGAGAGAGAAAATGCCTACATATTTCTTCACAAGGGATAAAGTATCTGTTGGAGAAGTTTATTTATGCTAGGTTACCAGAAGTGGTATTACTCACAAAGTTTTAATACCAATCTTATGCAGTCAGGGACTTAATATTATCTTCTGCTGTTTTAGGTGTGTGATTATGACATTTATGCAGGGAAAAAGGTCATTAATTCCCTCTGTTATATGCACCATTAAAACAACAGTTGTTGTTTGTCCTATTCTAGATTGAGACACAAATGGCAAGTCTTCACATAATGAGTACATAAAAGCAAAGCTTTTTCAATACATTACTTTTGGGAAGATACAGAACTCAGAAGAGAAAAAGGAGTTGTGAGATGAGCTAAGAAGAAGAAAAACGGAAACTAAGGGGGACTATTATTAATCCTGTACACTTTATGTAAAGGAGGAAAATGAAGGAATCAAATCACAGAAGATTCTTAGAAAAAAGCACTGGGCTAGTAGTAATGACAACCAGATAGAGAGGGAATTAAGTAAGGAAGGTTTGAGATGAAGCAGAAAAAGAAATCTCTTTTAGGTAGACTCAGCACCATGGATGCACCATCCATTCAGGTCACCAGCCTCACACTCCTCAAACCCAGGAGAAGCAGAAGTGAGAGCCAGACTTCTGTGAAAACATGAGTGTCTGCCAATTCATTTATCAAAATCACCCACTGAAAAGGAAAGGTTTCCATGTAATGTATACTCTTCATATAATATAAAATCTAAACATGCATGAATATTTCAAAAATAAATGCCTTGAAAATGGAGAAATAATCTGACTTTCCCTGCATACCATGTAATTCCAGAGAGTTAAAGTGTCTTAATTATTTTCCAAGGCTGAATTTAGTATGAACTTATGTGAAACAGTTCAGGCCTTTTTTTCAATAGCAAGTAAATAGGAAGAATTTTGTACAACTTTTTTTTTTTTTTTTTAATTTAAGAGGAAGCTCATTTCTGCATCTTCCCTACCGAGAACTTTTTTTTTTTTTTAAATGAATCATCTACTTCCTGGTAACATGTTACTGTTCTGAACACAAAAACCTACAGATGATACCTGATCAACAAGAAGTTCCTCTTTCAAACCACTATTATATTTTCCATGTTAAGTTAACTCTTAATTCCGTTATCACAGGAACTTAAACAGAGCTCTCCAGGAAACAAGGCAATGGTCTTCACAGGTGTTCAGCCTGGCAAACATGGGATGCTGACTTAATTAAAAGCTCATTGCTAAAGAGGACAGTAACCTCCACATAAAAACGCTACTAGCAGTATCCTGATCAAATGAATATGTCTACAAAGAAAGTTAGCATGTAACTAGCTTGCTCAGAAAGGTTTAAGTGAATGTCAATGATCGATCCATTCATAATACGCTTAACGGCCCTGACTCCCTGCTGTAACTTTACAAATACTTTTTTATACAATGATAGTTACAAATTCAGTTAAACTTCTATCAATGATCTACAGACACGTCACTACATTTGTTTAGTAGGTTGTAGGGCAGCTCATTACAGAAATTTAACTAGTATGTAACTATTAAAGAGTTTGAGGGTAGTACGTATGTAGTAATTTTATTTGTCTGGGTGAATAAAGATTCCTTGTCAAGCTGTATCAGACTCTCCCATGCTGTAATTTGGATGACAACAGCTTTCACAGCTATTATAACAATTTTTTACGGTCTTGGCTCACTCAAAAAAAAAAAAAGTGTTTGTTCTAAGGAATACCTGATGCTGAGGTTTTTCTTCTGAGGCTCTTGTTCTCAGAATGGAAACAGAAGGAACTAAAGACTGAATGACAGTCTAAGCTGTATTAGCCTAATAGTTTATCAGAAAGACAGGAAAAAGAGACTGTATCTTCAAGGCCCTTTCCCAATAAGTTAATTGGTAGTATACAGAATACAAAATCTAATTTAAACCTATATTTCAAATTTTCCCAATTACATAAGGGAGAACCAAGCATCTCATTATGCCAATTTAACAGGAAATGTTACATCAACAGTGCAATGAAAGCTGCAGAACAGCAAAGTGATGCATCAGCAGATGCCAACAGTCAGTGCAATGAAAGCTGCAGAACAGCAAAGCGATGCATCAGCAGATGCCAACTTTCCTTACAACTTTCCACAAAACCATGAAGAGGCTAGGTCTCATCATAAATAAAGTATAAAGCCGGAACATTTTCAAGCTACAAACATAGACAATATGATTTTTCAGCATCCTGTTGAGAGCTTAAATAGTACAAAATTATAGTTGCTTTCTGTCGTGGTTTAACCCCAGCCAGCAATAATCACCTCACAGCTGCTCGCTCACTCCCCCCAAGTAGGATGGGGCAGAGAATCGGAAGGGTAAAAGTGAGAAAACTCCTGGGTTAAGATAAAGATGGTTCAATGGGTAAAGCAAAAGCTGCACACACAAGCAAGGCAAACCAAGGAATTAATTCACTACTTCCCATCAGCAGGCAGGCGCTCAGCCATCTCCAGGAGAGCAGGGCTCTGTCATGCGTAACAGTTACTTGGGGAGACAAATGCCATCACTCTGAACATCCTCCCCTTCCTTCTTTTTTCTCCCACTTTATATGCTGAGCATGACATCATACGGTATGGAATATCCCTTTGGTCAGTTGGGGTCAGCTTCCCAGCTGTGTCCCCTCCCAGCTTCTTGTGCACCCCCAGCGTACTCGCTGGTGGGGAGGTGTGAGGAGCAGAAAAGGCCTTGATGCTGTGTAAGCACTGCTCAGCAGTAACTAAAACATCCCTGTGTTATCAACACCATTTTCAGCACAAATCCAAACCACAGTCCCATACTAGCTACTGTGAAGAAAATTAACTCTACTCCAGCCGAAACGAGCACACGTTCACATTCAGAATGAATTATGCGTACATTATGAATTATGAAGCATGTGTACATTCACATTTCCTGTTTCCTGTATTTGCAATATTGAGTATTTGAATTATAAAAAACAAAAACCCAGACTTAAACAAGCTCAAACCTCAGTACCCGGACAGATTGTGCACAGGAGATACACAGAGCAGAAGGGCTATTTCTACCAGCCACCTGAGGTTTTTGGACCCTTTGAGGCATCCTGCACTGGTACACACAGACAGATATGTTCCAGCCTTTGGGGAAAATATCTTAGCAGATGCGGTGTTGGGAATCAGTAAGAGGGCAATGCATGAGAGAAAGCAGGGGTAAAGCTGAACTGAATAGGAAGAACATGATCCTACTTTGACAGGGTCACCCAGAAAATATTCCAGATTGGATAAATACTACAATTACTTGCCTTTATGTGCCAGTTTAGACTACTAACAAAGGTTACTAACAAAGGACCTTGTCATACCACGTTGTATGACTAAATGAGAGGAAAAAGCATAAAAAGCAAAACAACTGCATTTCCACCACTTACCACATCAGACAAAATCTAGATTAAAAACACCCTTACGTGATCCATACTAATTTCAATTTACCACATCAGACAAAATCTAGATTAAAAAGACCCTTACATTACGTGATCCATACTAATTTCAATCGTTTTACTCACCTTTTTTGTATTTTATGCTACATACTTGCTCTTTACAACTTGAGAAATTTTTAAAAGGGAAATTCCAGCAAAATTTAAAATAAAAAAAAAAATAATTTCCCAAATAGGAACAGAAACATTTTTATTGCCTCATAAAGTGCTGCTTGGCTATAATAAACAGGTCTCTGTCACTAACGATGTTATTGTTCAACAACAGAAGCAGAACCCAACTCATTTATTTCAATCTGGATAAACCCCCAAGTGGGTAGATCCAAATCAGTTTATAACTCACTTGCAACAAACTGGATTTATGGTGGCTTAAAAATAGAACCTGCTTAAAGAAGGGGTGAAATTTCATGTGTACAGAGGCCGAGGCCGTTAAAGAATTTAATGTCATCCCTGTAATTTGCTTGATTAGAAACCTGGCATTTCCCCTAAAGGGAAAAAAATGACAGATCTGGCCTTTGCTATCTGTGAAATAAATATCAAATCTCCCTAGCAGAAATAGGAACAAGCACCATGTCCAACCCTGATGTCACTGCCTTAATTGAATTTTAGCTGAGGCATGTCTGTTAATATTTCTTAACATTTGTAAAGTATTATTGTTTATTTCAGAACTGACTGACCACTACTTTATACTGCATTTGGAAAAAAGAAACTATCAGCAGCACAAAGCAGTGCCACTAAACATTATGTTCATGTAGCAAATTAATGTCTTATCTTTTTAAATACTCTGGTTCTCTTGAAGGCTCCCTACCTAATTAGAAAATGGCTCACAGTCTAATTTAAAGATCTGTGAAACCACACCTGGCAACATTACGGCTGAATGATTAAATACTCTTTTCTGAAAACGACTTGTTTTTAAAACATAGACCTCACAACCATGAAAGAAGTGCAGAGATTCCAGGCTGAAAGCTCATTTTCAACAGCCATATACAGGTTTTCTTTTCAAATCTACTTAGAATAAAGACATTTGGCAAGTTCACTGTACAGTACACATATTGTTTGTGATTCTGCGCTTCTTGTTGCATTATCAGCTCTGTAATAATCTCATATTCATAGCAAGCATGATGGTACTACTTATAAATATAGAAGCTCAAGGATATAGATCCCATGCTGAACATAATCATATACTTTTGTCAGCTTTGGTAACTGCTTACAGGGAGATTCTGTACATTTCTCCCATGGG